TCTGATTCCATCGGGGTGCTTGATTTACGTGAGTCCCCTTGCCTCTCAACTTTCGGGGTTGCTAAATTTGCTAAATTTCCTAAAAAATTATGGATTTTTATGACAAACGTGTCAGACAATTTTAATGCAGAATTTTATGTTCTTTCAGAATATGCAATGAAAAATACTACATTTCATTAAAAAAAAACAAAGTTGACCTTTATATGACCTTCAACCCTCAATTTTACCTTCATCAAAAACTCAAGCCCACCATCTTGTGTTCCCCTTCGAACCCTACAACTTTTGTCTGAAACATTTTTCTCTAAACTCAACAGCGTTTGAAATATTCGCCTGGCTAGATTAAAATGAAACACTGTATATATATACATATATATATATATATATATATATATTATTATAGTATTAAATTGGTTGAGAACAACTGATACGTTGCATCGATATACTTACAGCGATCAGCAAACACGCAGCGAGAGCTTTTATTATGCCATCTTTATATTTTTCGAATTTAAAAAAATACTAATCGCGTTACAAAAAAAATTTTTTGTAAAACGTATCTGTATTTTAGACGCGTAAGGTATATACGTGTCTGAGAGCTAGTAGTTTGATAACACACTACATCGATAAATTTTGTAAAAACATATATACCGTGATTGTCTCCTAAACGAGTTCGTTAACTATGATTTACATCCCAGGTGATTTATATCATGGATAAGACTAGGAACGATATAATTTGATTATCAAATAAAAAAGATCTATAATAGATCGTTTTAAGAAATGTTAATTTTTTTTAAATTAAACTTTTGAAAAAGAAATAAATGTGTGAGAAAATGCAAAATATCCTTTTAGAAATTAGAGGTATTTTCTTTATTTAAAAATATTTATACCATTTATGTAAAGAAAATAGAAAAATAAAATATAAAAACGTATATTCTTACTATTTGCTTTAGTGTCGAAGTTTATATAGCTGAATTTATACAGTTAAATTTGCATTTTTGGATTTACACAACTGAATTTAGATTTCAGAATTTACATAATTGATTTTTTTTGTAATATTATGAAAACATTTTCACTAAATTTGCAAATTTCAATTTATGACACAAAAAATTCATCGAAGCCTTTATTGCACGTAGCGCAAGATTCAAGATTCAAGATTAACTAAAAAATTTGCAGCTCAAAGGAAATGTGTTAAATCAGAATTATATCATAATTACATTTTTTACATAATTATTGGGTAGCCAAGCATGAATGACATTATACCTTTGATCACTGCGCACTTTATAATATTCAAAGCCGTGTCATAGGTACTTTCTGAGTATTGAAATCCTGCAACAAGAAACAAAGTGTATAAAAGTTGTATCTCATTTTAGAATGTCGTGCCATTTTAACGTACATTATTTTATATTAATTTGTTTTTATTTTTTATAAATGTAGAGATTCAGATAAAATTGTCAAATGACAATATATAATTATGTCTGTGGAAAATTTTGACGCGCTTAAAAAATAAATATGTTTTAATTATTTTTGATTCACAAATTTATATCAATAATTGACAAGTATTAATTATTAAGCAAATTATTAGGAAATTTGGTATTGTGAAATTTGGAAACACAAAATTATACTCGTCATGACTGATGAAATTTTATAGGGAAGAGAAATAACATAAATAAATTATATATAACCTATTTTGATGCAGCTGGTAAGAATTGTTTTGCACTGCACTTCTGCGGCTCGATCTGAGACAAGACCATTACAATTTGCTGTAAAACTCTTATTCGTATCGAACACATTCTGTTCGTCGATCTAAAATTGATAAACTGCTTATTATCGAGAAAAATATAGGAATGTATATTTATTACAGATGAATTCAACTAGCTGCGGCTTACGTGCTGTACGCACTTGTAAAACAGAAAATTAATATCTTATAATTCTATTTTATAATTATATTTTCTATTAATATAAAAACTAACTTTCTTATTTAATTGAGTAATAATAAATTTATTTGTATAAATACACGTACTGTTCCGTGCTTTTTCAATGCACAATGAATCACATCAGGTCTAAGCTCCTCTGTAACGTATAAACTATGAATTTTATAATGCAATTGCAAATTTATATTATTGTTTATTTATTTTAACGACATTTTTATCATTATCATTATAAATACTCATGTAAGTTTCTTTTGATTAAAATACTAATCAAGATATGAATCAAAAGTTCTTTTTCGACAAATGCAGATATCATATAGAAATATTGTAATATTATGAATTTAATTTTTGAATAAAGAAATAAAATCTCTTTATTTAACAGAAAAAACAATACTTGGTGCAATTAGCGATTTTCCTAGTTCTTCTTCACACTTTGTCAAATGATCATTGAAGCTTTGTACTATTTCATCGTTTACGGCGTAAACTTCTCCCTAAAATAAATAAACAAATAAATTGATTACTCTTAAATATATAAAAATATATTCGACAATATAATCAAATGCAATTACGATATCGATAATCAATAATTAATACTATAATAATAACGATACTATAATAATAAATTCCTAATTCAAGATTTGGTATAGGAAGGCAGGTATAGGAAACCGCACGTACAGTAATTTAAGCATTAATATCTTATATTCACTTTTATATTATTATATTTTTAATAATTTAATTAAGAAAGGATTATTTATTGTACTTACGATGACTAGCAACCATGCAGCGAGCACAATAGTCTTCATTCCGCTGGTTTTCATTTTTGAGTACTCAAAGAGATACGACGAATGTTGCAAAGCACTTGTTAACTTGTACTGTGACATTCGTATCACCACACTCATTCTCTTTATACTGCTGATAATGGTTCGGTGGTACAATGACATTGTTAATTTTGTACAAACGTTTGCTGATTGTAATCGTAGCTCAGTTATGATTTATATTTTAGATAATTCATGTCGTGTATAAGAGAAGAAATAATAATTGCGTCATTTGATTGTCAAATAAGGGAGATTTGAATTAAACTGAGAAATGTTTCCTTTTTTCGCAAAAAGTATCGAGAAAGAGATAGTATATACATGTACAGGTAGCGAGCACGTCAGCTTTTTTACTCTCTTATTTTTCAAGTACTCTAAAAAATATTAATAATTTTGCTAAAAACTTTTTAACTTGTATTAAAATTTCTCAACATGTCCATACACCGCACATGTTAAGAAGTTTTAATCGATAACATCAGTACAACGATGCCTTTTTTTACTGTCGATAGTAATTCAAGGGCACAATGACATTGTTGAATTTTGTACAAACACATGTAATTGCTGCTTTAACTAAGTTATCATTTATATTTTAGATGATTTATATCGTGGATAAGAGTAAGCATAGTAATGTAATCTGTATGTATGTATATGTGTTTGTGTGTGTGGTTGTCAAATAAGGGAGTCAAATAAGGGGATCTGAATAAAAAGATAATGTACTTTTTTTGCACAAAAAAATATGGGGAAAATGTTAGCGGTGAGATTTAACAATGCCTAACCGTATACGTATATGACTTTTACTTATTTCGATTGCATTCTTATTTTATGAATTTTTTGTTTACAGGATTCAAGTTTTCTGGTGATGTTGCGTATTCAAAATGTTAAGATAAGAACGTGAATATCTGGTAAGTCATTCCCAATTATATATCTTTTCTAAAAATTTTCAATAATTAAGTATCGTGTTATAATATATCTAAATATATTAAATTATATTATATTATAACACAGAAACGTTTAAAACGAGTTTAACCAGTTGGGTGGTAGACTTTTTCGAAAGATTTGTGCCAAAAGTGGTAAGAGCCAAAAGTTAAAATATCGAAAAACGGTGAAACATGGGTTCAAAGTTTTCGAAAAAGCAACTTTTCGGAATGGGTGTGGATTCCCCCCCCCCCCCCCCCAGCCCTGGGGCGGGGGAAGAATAGGGGTGGAAAATGTTAAATGGCACTATGGGTCGAGTGGGGATCATTTGAAAGGGCGTTTCAAGACAAAAACAATGATTTTTGAAAATGTTTACTACGACTTTCCAGTCAAAAGTGGAGGTGGATCAAAAAAGGGGGGTGGACTTCCGAAAAGCTATCACCTCCGATTTGGCTTATATTCAGCCTAAATACTTATTTTATCTAGTAAATAATATTCCCAAATGGATTTTTGGCGCAAATGCCCCCTCCGCTCCCCAGCCCCCCTCAAAGGTTCAAAAATAAAATTGTTTTTGTTAATTATTTCAGAAAGCATTCATTGTACGGAAAAAGTTGTCAAACAAAAAATAAAGCTCATAAAAAGCTCTACAAATAAGGTCTTATACATATTTTACCTAACTTCAATATTTTAGTCTTTTAACAATTAACAATTGCCATATTGGATCCGCCATTTTGAATTTTGCAATTTTGACAACAAGATTCGAAGCCCAAAAAACCTTAGGATATCAAGTTTTATGCAAATTTGTTGAAAATTAGTGGAGTTATTTAGAAATGTACATATATGATATATTACCACGTTTGGCACTTTTTTTTGTACATATATGATACATTACCACTCAACTGGTTAAGACGTGTTTAAAACGGCAAATGTTAACGTTTCTAAAACAGAGCATTATGAAATATGTTTGAATCGAGATAATACGAAGAAAAGTTTTTCGGGAAAATGATTAAAAGTAGTATAAAAAGTGAAAACATATTAACATTTGTATAATTAATATATATTTCGTATATTTAGGACAATTCTTTTTAATTTTAGAATGCAATGCGCACTCATGTTGAAATGATTGTTACTTGACTCTTCATGTTATTCGACGAGATAAGCCAAAATCGTTTTTCATCTACGTATACATATATCGAGAGAAACATCTTTACGGGTAAAATACAAGCTGCAAAAACGAAATAAATGTTTAAGATTATAAAGTATGACAAACAGAACTTAAATTAAATTCTATCGTATTGCTCTACTTTGGTCTAATTTTGAATTAATTTATAATATTAACTTATAGTTAAAAAATTTGTTGATGCTATCTTTTTTCAATTTTAATGTTTAAAATTGCAATCTTTTATTATTGTCATGAGAAGAGAGACTTGTGAAATTATTGTTATTTGCATTACCGATGGATCATATTCGTAGTAGCACTTGGCTAATTCGTATGCTAACTCACATCCTTCCAATGGTTTCATGGCTATAAATAAATAAATAAAAATCAAATTACATTTTACGAAATGTAGCAAAGAACATTTTGAAATATTTTATTTTATTTTTTATATGAAAAATATTTTATTTAAAAAATTATTTTGGTTTTACTTACCAATTGGACGACAATGATCTATCGCTTTTGTGACAGGTTCTACAAATTGCTCCAATAATAAAAGCTTTACATTGTTCTTGAATGCTTGCTCGATTATTTTATCATCTTTCATCTGGAATGAAAAGGAAAAATAGAGTTTATGTATGTTTTTTTAAATAATTATCAAAATTATCGGTGAATAAATCGCGTAAAATAAGTTTTTTAGAAAAATTAATTTTTATTAAATACAAAGTTTCTTGTGTAAATTTTTAAAATTCTTGTACAAATTTCTACAAAGGGTGGTATTACGACACGGACAGAGTAAGTAAAGAAAAAAAAAGTATAATTTAGGCAGCCATAATCAGCGATAATTTATATTGCAAATACAAATTGTTTTTGCTTTCTCTCTTCGGTCATTTAGTTTTAAAATGCAACATTATCGTGTTCATAGAAAATTACTGAATTATTTTACTTACAGCTTTTGTGTTCAATAGCATACACTTGTAGTAACACTGCAACTTTCGGTCAGGCACGAATTTACCTTTGTTTGCGTTATCGATCAACTCTAAGCAAAATAATATTAGAAACTTATATATTACACTTGTGTACATTACACTTTTTTTATAAGCTATCTGCATATAATGTGAAATATCTTTAATGTTCGCTTAATGATAACACATGATACTCATTTTATTTTAAGAAACATCCACAGTTTGAGACTAACAACTTTAAATTTTAGGAGAAATATGCTATTTTTTTAATATGAAATGAATAGATTCAAATATTAATTAAATATTAAAGACATACTATCAGGTTTTTGTAAATTTTTCTTGAAAGTTTGATAATATACATATATTAGTATATCAAAATTTAGGGGCGTTCTAATTCTCTAGCAAACAGTATACACAGTATACAAGATAACGCAACGATCTAGTTTCTTATTATTACGCACTTATATCAGTTCCCACTCTCTCGATGCAATGTTTCTTGACTGGCTGCAAAGCTTCCTTGATTTCTTCGAAGGTCATTCTTCTCTGTAGAAATACAAATCCCTTAGTGACGAGGAGACAACAAATATTAGTGCCTTTTTCTATTGCAAATTATAGCATAAGTGCATCAACAAATCTACTTTTACATATGATATAAAGTGAGCATATCTTTCTAAATATGGTAGTATAAAATTTTAACATGTTTGATGTTACATATGTATGTATATACAGGGTAGGTAAGTAGGTTGTAAACGCGCGTATACTGTACTGAAATGGCACATTCTTGAGATTATTTTGAGGTGAAAGTCCTAATACCGAAATGTAGAGGCTATAATAGTTTTTAAATGAAAAGCATTTGAAATTGATCAATCAAATTGTTCCAAATTTTTGAAGCCATTTCATTGTTCCAAATTTTCAAATTCCAAAGCCATTTCAGTACAATGCGTCCGGTCTGGTACACTATGTATAGTTATTTTAATGTTTTTAATCGAGGACATTTGAATCAATTTGTGAAATAATTTACAAGAGTGATTTTTTTCTTGTCTTGAGCAGTATATGCATGTTGAATATTAAATATTACAAATATATAAAATGAATATTAGATATTAAAAAATAATTTATTTGTTTCATATTAAAAAGTATTATTTTTGCGTTTTTGCTTATCTTTCAAATACATAAAGAAATCAATTTTTTTTAAATCTTTAATTTTATTTTTCGATTTTTCTGAATTCTGTTGAGTAGTGTAAATAAGTTCAACAATATCTTTCAACTTACACTTTCGGCACTTCGAAGGTTGACTGCGAGTACGAACGAAACAAAAAGGATCACAATGACGGTTCTCATTTTTATTTCTTGTCCTTGATACTGTTTTCCTTTTTTATTTATTTTTTTTTTAATTGGAAAATGGGCTCTCAATGAATCGCAATTGGACTTGACTTTTGCAAATCGCGTGCGAAATGCGTTATCCACTTTTATATACGGAAGTAATATAGAGTCAAGAGGGAGAACGTTCAATTTTAAGGTGACACGTTCTAATACGCTTTAAATAGCCGTTTTGGTTGAAATAATTAGTGATACTTAGCGCTAATAGTGCGACACCCGAGTCTTATTATTATTTCCTGGAGTCGGAAAATCGCAAACATTATGCAAGTGCGCCATTGATGCGTTTACTAAATTATACGTCTGCATTTAATGCAAAATGCGTTTAAAGGAAACAGATCTTTATTGATAAATCAAATAATTTTTATGTTAGTAACAATATTTTTATATCGGAGATTAATTTTTTATGAGAGATCTTTAACAATAACATTATCTTTGATTTTGTTTTACATTTATTTTTAACTTTATTATCTTCAGTTTTACCAAAACATTATGGTTGCATTATGTCTTGATTATAGTTATTATTTCTTATTATTATCAAAAATTTGTGTCTTTAGTATCGCTTTCTTAGTTTTAATTTATTAGAAAACGACAAAAGAAATGCGGAAAGTGTGTCACTAACGCAAATTAAAGAGAGCGTGTTACAGTAAAAAAGAAGAAACGATTTAAGAATATTTCTTGAAACTAATTTCTCTTTGCCAATTGCTTTGTAGTTTAAAATTAAAAATTCTCAAGAAAATTAATTTTTTTTTACCGATACTTTGTTGTTCAAATTGCAATTAAATTGCAAACTCTTATTAAAAAATAAGTTAAGTATTGCTGGTTTAAAAGCAGCTATCTTTTGCAATTTGTGCAATCCCATTATTAGAATTATAATATTCAAGGATTTATAAGTTAATAAGGGTATAATAATAAAAATATTATATGTATAATGGAAATACATTTTAAAAGACTAATATTTGTGGAGTATTTTATACTATTTTGTCTTGTTTTTTTTTATTTATCATAATATTTGAGGGAAATAGGAGAAGTTTTTGAAAATTTGATACATACATATACACTGCCAGTAAAAAGTTTTTGGATAAAGAATATAGTTGAATTTATTACTTGATACTTTGTAATTTTTTTCAACCTATGTAACCACACTTAAAATAAACATTTTCAAGAATGTATGGACATATATCTCTATTAAAGGATTTACGGGAATAGAATTTAAAAATATTTACAGAAAAAATACTTATTGTCCAAACTTTTGACTGGCAGTGTATATACATATATGTATATATAACAAGACTCTTTGTTATAAAGTGTGCAATTTTCAAAGCAAATGTCGATATATTGGCAATTATTTCCATCTCTTCTAAATAGTAAAATTTTCACAGTTTTATCATGCATTGCTTAAAGTCAACTATTTATTAATTATAATAACTAATTATTGCATATATTATTGCAATTGCCATAAATTGCCATAAATTGCATAGTATTGTACTATTAATATAACTGCACATTTCATTGCAATCTATTTGATCATAAATTTATGATTACATAATTCTTGTGATACAATTCCGAGTCGAAGTCAATACAAATGTATACTTTTATATATTTATGTATTGCTAAAAATATTTACAATTTTTTATTTGATATAATCATATTTTTGTCAAAAAGCTTTTATCCTTATTTAATTTCGATTAAGGGAAAAAGAAGTGATTTGGATCTGTCTGATAGCTGCATTTCACAAATTGATAAGCTGTTGCACAATCATCGCCAGCGGGAGCTGTAAAAAAATCAGAAATTTACAAATCCTCAATTCTTCTTTGAATCGCGATTTCTATTTATAACAATGCACGTATTTATATATACGTACTACATAAATACAAATTATATAAATAATTTTATTAAAAATTATAATATTAAAAATAATTTTGATATGGCAAGTATTGCTATAAAACTGCAAGAAAAAAAATGGTTTTGATTACCTAATAATCTGAAATCTTGCTTTTTTAATTTAAAATTGGTATTAATTTTTATTTTAGAAAAATGTACTTACGCTCGGCCGCACATTTAATCGCAGTTGCTTTCATAGGTACCGACAAATCGGGAGGCAGCATTAGATCCACTTGTTTAGTCAGCATGCCATCATCTACGCGTCCATTCTTGAACTTAATTACAAAAAATATTTAAATTATTAATTATAATATTGTATTGAATTATAATAAATTTAATAATTCTTATATATATTATTATTAAAAATTATTTTTAATCAATTAAGATTTTATCTTTAGCATATTAGTATTTTTTCTTAAAATATCCAGACAAAAAGCAAAAGAATTGAAGAATTAATTTTTATCAAATATTAGTACTGTATCGCATTAATTTTATTTATTGCATTCAAATATGTTGCAATGATGAGAAATACTTTTTTATTCTTACAGTTCGCATAGTTTTCATTACGCAAAGCGTGTAGCATTTTAATAATTGATTATCATCGGGGAATTCACCATTCTGTATTGCTGCGACAGCTCCTATAAAAAAGAAAGCGTTAAAGGTTCAATTTTTGATTTTATAGAAATTCAACAATTAATTTTAATAACATTTTAAAAAAATTGTGAATATATAAGAGTGTTTTCAAATTTTAAGATAAAAATACTGTAGCATAAAAGTTTGAAAAAATTAAGTATAATGAATAATTTTTTTAAGTAAAAGATTTGTATTTAAAATTTGGTCAATCAAGGACATCAACTTTAGTTAAAAAGTCATTTGTGAACATACATCACGTAGGTGATGTTAGTGACCACGCACTTTATATGCGAGGAAGGATAACGTAACGTTATAGAATGGAGTCTAAATTGCATCAACCGGAAGATGCAGGTAAGAATTAAAGTGAAGATTACTGTAATTAGTCAACGTGTGCTTTCGTGATTCTGTATCACGTGCGTTTTATCTTCAAGCATTATTGATTTCCTGATGCTTTGTTTTTTACATTATACTATAATTTTATTCATTGATTTTTTGGCTTTTTAAAACATGTTAAACTTGCACAAACTTGCTTTGTATTTACGCAATTTATGTAAATTAACGATATAAATCAAGACGCTTGATAAATACGGGATCATGCGTTTATATCGCAAAAAAGATTTTCGGAATATACTCACCAGCGTCCGCATGAGATTTTGTCGTGCATGTGTTCCGCATTGTCATCGCAGTCTTCTGAATTTGCTCCATCGTCATCGCCTACATTATTATAAAATTATGTATACACATTTTTTTTTGTATTTTTTTTGTAGTCGATTAGCACGCATATAATATAGGTATTACACGAAAAAATATTACAAATAGCATATTAAAGATGATTAATTATTTTCAGACTTTTTATGAAGTTTAAAAACTATACCATATATTTTTTGGAGTTATAAAGAATGTTATAAATTTGAAAAAAAATTTATGCTGGTTATGTAAAAGTCTTAAAAATGATACATGAAATGTTTGTTTAAAAAATAGATTTTATATTTAATATGATTCCATTTGATGTTTAACATGATGAATTATTTGATAGATTGTGCAACTTACAGCATCTGCCTGATTTACTGCGACGAACGCTACCATAATCACGCAAATTAGTAGACCAGTGCACATTTTACAGTATTTCATTTAGACAAATGTGCAAACAAATTCAATCTAAAATATTTCCTCAAAACCGACGATGAGCCGTAACTAGTTTTCGTCACGTCTTTATAAAGACTCTGACTGTCAACAGATAGTCGCGGTTGATATAACAGGCAGCTATCTCGTTTGGAGCTTTGATTTCATGGTATTTATCCGTAGGAAATTCGTACCTTCTTGTTGTGTCAAGACAAGGAAAGCAACTTCCGCAATTTACAGATCACGGAAGAGAGAGAGAGAGATAGAGCGCGGGGGGGGGGTAGTAGTTAACCAACTGATAATTGACAATTTGCAACATATGATGATATAGTATTGTTGACAGTTTTCATTAATAAAGTCTGCAAATGATACATTATTTAGTGTGTGACTACTGTGATATGTAAAATAGGAAGAATATATTGATAGAAAATTACTGATAGAAATATACTAATAGAAAAGTCGAAGAAAATTCAATATAAAAAGTTTATTACAATAACATAATAACTTACCATTTTAATGTAGAATTTATCGATATATAGAAAAAAAACAATTTGATCAAAGAAACCCAACGGAAATATTATAAAAGAAAGAAAATAAGTATTGGAAAAATTTTAAAAACCTATGAACACTTACGATTAATTATAATCGACATATTGAATGATCAAACCACTCAATGATCATATGAATGAAAGTTTGGCGAAGAGCCGATGGTAAGACCAATTAATCGTATGTTCTCATCGCCACACCCGCCAGCCTTTTGTGATGCTAATTAGCTTTCAATTAAATCCGGAAACTTGATCCGTCCGTCCAATGTCGATTAATTCTCCTCTCGTCTTGGGGTTCGATTTTGGGGTTCGGTGATTTTGTTGGAAAACTGTCGTTAGAATTTGCTGCTTTTCAAGTTGGTTGACACGATTGTTCAAAAAGTACTAAATTGTGATTTTCTGAAACTTTTTCTATATACTAAAATACATTCTTAACATTTGAAGCACCAGGTTATTGTCATATTTTTTAAGTTAACTATTTTTATAGTCGCAAAAATTAACAGAATTATATATATATGTACTTAATCGGAAAATTAAATAATAAGAATACAGCTATTAATTAGTCAAATTTATAGCAATATAATCTTTATTGATTTTGTATTCAAATTTTTTTGAATTTATTAAATTAAAAATTATATTGCTATAATTTAAATGACAAATAATTATTAATATATATTTTGTTGATTAAATATTGCATAATAATTTAAATAGAATGAAATTTAGACGTAGCAAGAACTTTACTTTTTACTCTGAGTTCAAAGGACGCAGGATGGCACGATAACTTTGTTTTTCTATTCCTCTCGCGATCGGAAGTGACTAATCAACGATGATTTTGACGTGTATCTTGCTCTGTCGATTCTCCATCCACACAATCGTGCGCGCTTCCGGGATTTCGAAACGCCACTCGGCAATAAACAAATTAGAAATGCACCGCTGGGTTCTGGGGAATAACTTGCTATATTAAGATTCAATGTATTCCTCTTTAACGATCTCTCACGTAATCTCCTGATTACGTGATTATACAACAAACGTTGCGATGCACGAAAGAGTAATCATTACAAAGAAAATATTATTTCAACTGACCATTTTTTATGAGAAAGATTAACACAACACTTAAAATATACACAGGATTTCGAAAATTTTCAATTGTATATATGTATATACTGTAATTCGTGGGACTTTTTTAATTTAACATGTTACCATTATTACCTTTATTACTTTTCTTGAATTTTAAAAAGGTGAGGCTAACTTAGATAAGCAATATATTGTGCGAATTTTTTATTAATTGTAAATTGGCATTATGCGCATATTACATTATATTATCTTTTATAAAGAAAATTATTTTATGCAAAATTTTGAGATTTTTTTTAAGATTCGTAATAAGATTTTTTAAAGATAAGATTGAATATAACAATCAATGAATGTGTATAATTATGAAAACACTTTCTCTCTCTTTCTCTTAGAATTCTTGGAAATAAATTTGATGTGGAGTAAAGACTAATTGACGACATAATCGTGAAATATTAATTATGCACGCGCGCGCGTTTGTGTATGTGTGTATGCGTGCCGCGCGTCGTTTGATCGTGCCTTGGTGTAAACGTATTCATCATAAAGGAAACCTCGACTAGTGCATGATAACAACGAACCACGAGCGGAAATGAAGCAGTATTTAGTCGCGCAATTAAAAAAGGTCGCACACTTATGTAAGAAACTAATAACAATTAATTATATTTAATCTATCTATAAATACGATTAAAATTATTCGAATATCATAATCTATTTTTGACACTAGGAATTTTATAATTTAATAAAGATGTTTGATTATTAAAAGTCATAATTATAATATAAAAAATTTTAGAATTTGTAGAAAAATTTTTAAAATATACTAATTGTAAGTTAATATTTAACGCACACACATAAACAACATGTTGCAATTTTAATTTTGATAATAAATTTTTTCATGGATTTGAAATATTGATTTTTCTTGGCGAAAATATCGAGATACTAATAAAGTTTAAAAATAGTTAAAAATATTAATAGTTAAAAATATTTAATATTAAAAATATTTAACAAACTTTTTCGCCATTTATAATAGCAAAAATTGACAAATTGCGATAAATAATTCTTTCGAAATTGATAAAAGCCGTTGATTGGTATATCTGAGGTCGTTTGTCAACGCTGTTAATACAACACTGCACAATGGCAACGATGATGGTAGTGATAATGATGATGGTGGTGGTGGTGGTGATGGTAGTGGTGGTTGGAGGCGGTTGATGGTGATGATGGCGTTAATACTGGAACCAGTGATGCCCGAGGCCCTACGTGGTCTCGTCGTCTCTTTCTACCAAATCCCGTGTGCTAAAAATATCGTCTTCTAATTTGAATCTTGTCATGCTTCAGCAGTGCAATCACATTGAAATCGATTATTATCAATTACGGTAGATGCGCGTGCAGTCGTTCAAGCAATTTATTTCAGTGTTTATCAATTGGTATGAATGCGACAAGTGATAAAATGAAGGAAGCATAGCAGAAAAAGAAATTACAGTGTACGAATATGTGTGTAATATGTGTGCAAGTGATATGTGTAGGTATACTACTGTATATATGTAGGTTTTAATGTATATACATTCTTTAATTATTTTTTAGATAATTGATTAAAGTGACTTTTGATGATTAAGATGATTTCGGTGCATTTTTTTATTACATTTCATTGATGCCATAGTGGTCCTTGAATCTTTCAAGTTTTTCTTTTTTTTTTTTTTTCCCAAGTCTTAACACATTAAATATAATCAATAAGATGCAAAGTGATAAAATTTATTTTTTACTAAACAAAGCTTAAAATAATTAAGTTTATTTTGTTGTTTTTTGTTTTTGCATATAATTTATTTAAATAATAATATTTAATGATGGACACAAATTTTTTTAGACGTGAATAAATAGACTAAAATAAAGTTTATTATTTTTTTATTAGATTCTACATATGTATTCACAAAGGCTGAAAATTGGATCGATTTAGAATTTTCATAATTTATTCCACTACTACAAACGCAAATAAATATGAGTGTCAATGATTAACTGAAACTCATTATGTCATCAATTATTATCGCACACATCGTTTCTGTGATCAAATGAGCAACATTTGTGCAGTATTAATGAAACGCTACTGACGATGATAAAAGTCGTTTCAGTCTTGTGTATCAGCCTGCACATTAATCAAACTTATTTATATTATATGACACATATAGATAAAAAGTTTGAGATATAAAATATGCGCTAGAAGTTATACACAATCACATAACAATGAAAGAAATTTAAATATAACGCAAAATGACAAATATCTTTTTTTATTTGGCTCTGCTACGATATAGTATGTAATTTACAAGAGAGTGTAAGAAATTAAAAATATCTCATCTGATTTTAAAAGTCTGCGATATATATAAATATGCTTAGTTTTTAAATAGTTACAAAAGTTTGTCAATTTAACAAATACCATTAAGAGGGATCTGGGATATACGAAAAATAACACGTAGCGAGAGCAGGAGTGATATGCGTTGTTATTTTTCGTTGTCATGCGATTCTCATTGCTGTCACGCCTAGAGCGTACAGCCTACGATCTAGTCGCGATCAACGCGCGATTATTCGTCAATCCCTTTTAATTAATATCTCAATTACTATTGCGAAAATTGCAAAACGGTAAAGGACTTTTCTATTCAGTTTACCGCACTCTATCCGTACACGAGCGTTGGCACGGACATTATAAAACACCCTGTATATACCATACACATACTATACAATTCGAAAATGTATATTCTTTTCTCAAAACTTAAAGGATTATCAATTGTAAAATTAATTTTTACACAAAGAATATATAATTTAATAGATAAAATAAATTAATGTAGAAAACAATTAATGCACAGCTAATTGAGACTACTTTTAACAATTTCTGTGATGAATCGAACGACATTCCTAACGCGTGGCCATTCATACACGTGTCCGCTCGTATTTCGCACGAACGGTGATTCATCTTATCTTTAGTTTTTCTTCGTAAATTTGAGAGGAGATGTTTACCCGTCTGCTTTTACCCGCCTCGAAACTCAGGGAGGTGTCTTACCTCACATTCAGAGAGCAGGAACTACGGCAGGCGCCTCTTAGGAATGTACCTTCCTCCTATGTATCCGCGGTCTTTTGAATTCTTACGTATTCGTGAACTCCTTACTGTTAAATCTAACCGACCCAGCGTATTATTCACTGAAAGAAGAAAAAGAAGTACTACTTCTTCTCTTCTTTCCTTCTGGTTCTCACATGTGATGCGACTCTCGGATATATGTATGGGCGTGAGAGAAACGTAGTCGAGGAAATGCGGAACAATACCGTTCACGTACCTTTTAGGGGCTTGAACCCGTCATGTAATCACACGGTAGAAATTATTATATACAGAGTGTTTGATCTGCGTTGTGTGCGGAACTTTAACGACACCTTTTTTTAAGAATTTTTTGGATTTTTCCGAGCATCGTGTGGAAATAGCGCGTATTTTTATTCTAAGCGATAAATATTAAAGTATTAATTAAATTATTTATAATCAAAATATCTATATTTTCTATTTGTTTTTATTATTGTTTCTATATTTTTATATTAAAATTTAAAGATTATAACACGTAAAATGTGTAATCAAGTTTTAAAGAAACTTAATTAAACAAAATTATATACTTAAAATCTTTTAGTAATTATAACACACAATTATAATTCTTACGAGAAATTTTTTTTTCATTTCTTAGTATAACAGTATTTTGTACAATAGTATAACAGTTTCTGTAAAATTTATTTAATGGGATAAGTTGATACGAAATTAAGAATGTTTTATCTTTTTTGATATGCGCAAAATTATACACTTTGCACGTGCAGTTTCACATGTGCAATGCTATGCACTACGGGTATCGCAGGATATCGCTGCTTGTCGCAGTTGCTGTTGCCACCTGTTGCAATATAGTGCAATTAATACGATGCAGGATATTCTCGCTAGACTTCTGCAAAACAGGTGCAAGCATGGAATTTGCAAACATGGAAATAAGAATGATAGAAATATACGGAAAGATCAAGATTAAGATCAGATGAGAAAATTAAAAAAACGCGTTTTTTATTTTTTATATTCTATACATTTCTAATTCTTATAATATTTAAAATAAAACCTTAAAAAAGGATAAGGAATTATTTTTTCTATTTCTTAATTTTTATATTACTTTGTTGTTTTTATTTATTTATTTTTTTTTAATTAAATTCTCTGTGAATAAGTGAATTTTAAGTCTATAAAAAATATTAAACAAATATATAAGTATATAAATACATGGACAAAGAATATTCGAGTAAGGAGCTACCTCAGTAATTTCTCATACTCGTTACCATAAAAAGCTTGCAGCTGCGCTTAGCAAACGCGTGCGGCAGTAATACAGTGCGCTGATTGATCTCGATTAAAATTGACTCGCTTGCGAAATCATTTGAACGATTCTTAACGATGACGTCGGACAGTCAAGACTATTCTCGCATCTATATCCACGCGAACTGGACAGCGGATATTCGTAAGTTCCCGTGTTCCGCCGTTGCTCTCACGATGCTTATGTTAAAATTTTTGTAAAGGAGGCAAGTCGCGGAAGTCGTTATGTTGCGTAATAATTTATTTATGCCTAGAATATAATTGCGCGATTATCTTTTTGCGATAATCCGTCTGTTGAACTTTTTCCTGCGGAACTGGGAGTGCAAAAGTTTAGGAATGCCGAAGAAAGATTCGTAAATCTTATTAAGATAACCAAGATTTATTTCGACGTGCTTCGACATTTTTCCTCAACAAGAAGATAAAGACTTTCAGGGTTGATAATGCAGAATTGCTAGATCATCTCTTGTTGTACGAAAAACGAGAGTCAGATGATTCAGTAGTTTTTCATAGAAATATGACGTGATAGATTTTTGATTAAATACACATAAGTGAGATCAAAATGTCAAAATTTTTGTAAATAATCAAGCACTTGAAAAATTAATTAATTTTAATTAAATGGAATTAAATTATAAATTATTTAATTAAACGGAATAAGCTATTAGAGCCAGAGCTGGTTTTTCATGCTCATTTAATTATAATCAATAATGATGTACAAACGTTTTAGCCCATTGGATGTCGCCATCTTCAGTGTATAATTATGTTTAACAATTACTTAAAACTAATGCATCTATCGTGACTCTAGTACGCTTTACGCAACGCTAATTTGGTCTATTATTCGATGGAAGGTGTTTTAGTCATCCTTGATTATTCCTATAAATTACTAGCAAATGCATACGCAAGATTACTAGAGATATAATTTTATAATTATATTATCATGAGTTAGTGCAAGCTACTTAAAATTAAAATTAAAATTTTTTACGCTCTTTTTTTATTTCTTAGCATTGATTTTCTTGTACATATCAATGCTGAAGAAAATTCAAAAACTTAGCGACGGATGTTTTATTTCTTGGAGGAAACCGCAATATTATGCCGTGAGAATTGTCAAGGCCGCGACCTTCCTGGTAGGAGATAATAAACTAAAAAAAAATTCACAGCGGTGGCGCGATGCGCGATGGGAAAACGAAACAAACGGGAATAATTCGTGAATAAGTCATGACGCGAGATATTTACGTTCCCTTGCGCGTTATGAAAATCATAGCGGAAGAAAGCCAAATAAATTCTACGAGAAGGAGAGGAAGGATAGTTCTCTCTCCTTGTATAATTACCGCTTTAATGTTTCAAATAATACATGTAATACGTATTTACTCATATTTTATTTTTTTGTATTTTGGTAAAAGTTATTTATTTTGTATGTAATGTTGTTAGTAAAAATTTGTTTAATTACATAACTAAAATTTTTAATACTAAATGTTATTTTAATTGTGGAATTAACTATTACTGTTTCTTTTTTGTTGCAGATAAATTTTTTGCAAGTGACATACGTGAAGCATGTATATGTTTTATTTTATTTTGTTTTTAATAAAGTGCGCGATAATTTTTTAGTGAAGTTTATAATAAAATGTGATATTAAATTAATGTGTGACGTAAACTAATATGAGACAAAGATGACGTCGCTGATTCAGAGAGATTTCGGATCCCAGAGGAAAAGGGAATCTACCGGTAGTACTGCGTCCAGCTATTTATTGGTGAGTACAATAAATTATGAATACAGTAATAATTACAATCATAAGTTTTTGTAATAATTACAATCATAAATTCTTGATGAATAATGTTTACGTTTTAAAATCAGAGGCATCGATCCTAGCAATATGAACAAAATATTTTGATACAATAATTTTGGTTAAAATAATATCGATATGAAATAAGGAATTTTGTTTTTGGAATCAGGAGATATAGAATGTCTGATCTATGTGTCTGATCATTTGTTAAAGCAGATTTTTGAGGTCATTTGGAAACAAAAATCTTTGTACTAAAATATCGAGACTACGGTAATTTTTAAATGCAAAATATTTAAAGTTGATTAATCAGATTTTATTAAAATTTCATGCACTCAGATACATCGCATATTAATTTTTATTTCCTTACCATACGAGAAACCTCAAGAATCTGCTATTAACAGATGACATGGTTAGTCTGAGATATCTTATATATTTTATATTATTTTTCAATCTATCTTTTCATGATATAAAAATAAAACAAATTATACTGACTTATCGGCAACGATCCGCAACAGCGGAGTTGTTTACAAGTTGATCTGTAACATACCAAGTACATTCGAATTATAGCAGCGTTTAAAATAATTATTTGAAAAATAATTATTATGCACATTAAACTACTTATTAAATTACTCATCTTTTATGCACAAATATCTAATAAAATTATTATATATTTATATTTAATAACTATAAATATTAAAAATTGCAAATTTTTTAGTGCGAATATTTCAAAGCTTCTATGTGCGTCACATTACATAATATTTTATGTGCAATATTTTGTAACTAATAGATAACAAATAAATGATTATTTACCCTAAAGTTGCTTTGTCGGCGCTTGATGTCTTTTCTGAGCTTCTTTCTTCTCTCCTTGCAGTTGTTCAAGGCACTCACACGCGTTTGCAACGCGAATATAAAAATCACATATTTTAAACAGCCCTCCTATATTTTGTCGTATTAGGACACAAGTAAAGCTTGCACAGAATATCATTGCATGAATTACACATTCGACACTCTGCCGCGTCTGTAACGAGTAACAATGAAAAGAGTGAGATCGAAAACTACGGAAAATAATAAGGATAGTACTATTAAAAAGGATAATGCGCCGATATGGAATGATTTGCTCTGTACGAGGTGCCGCCATGCGAATGATGATAAGGGGGCAATAAACATGTAAAAGACTTAATCGCGCCGATTCCGATTTGGAAGAATGCTGGGACTAGCAATAATGTATGTGTGAATACATAGGGTGCGAGAAAGAAAGACAAAGAGACGATATAGAGCACGCAGCTTAAGGGCGACGAAAACAATCGCGCCAAACGCCGCAAGTCGACCACGAAACTCTTAACATTAAGGTATTTATCGAACATTTATCAAAATCAAGTTTAAACTCGATTTCAACACGATTTCGATAAATGTTCGATAAATATCCTAATATTAAGAATTTCTAGGCCTACTCGCGATGTGTGGTGGTGATGTTTTCGTCGTCACGCTTAGCTTGCGCGCTTCATATATCCTCCCCTCTATCCACAACATATTGTTGTTTTTTCTCCGCATTCTTCCAAATCGAAATCGCGACTTTGTCCTTGATGTCTATTGCTTTTTTATCATTCGCACGGCGGCACTTGTACGGGGTAGATCGCGTTTCGTATCGGCATGTTATCTTCTTCAAAAATATCCTTATATTACTTCTCGTTATTTTCAACCTTACCCTCTTTCATCGTTACTTGTTACGAACGCGACCGAGTGTCGAACGTGCGATGATATTCGAGTTTTACTTTGTCCGAACGACAAAGTACGTGTCGGGAGTGTCGTTTAAAACAGCGTGCGATTTTTGTATTCGGATCGCGAACGCGTGTAAGTGCCTTGAACACAAGGAAGTCTGACAATGAGAGGTGGATGAGGCTCAGGAAGGGCATCGGGCGCCGGCGGAGCAACTTTAGAGTAAGAAATCGTTTACTTATTATGTTGTTTGCAATTTATTGCACGTAAAATATCAATCACGCTATATAATGCACATAAAAACTTTGAAATGAAATCTTTTAGTAAAAAATTTGCATTTTTTCATATTTATGGTAATATTTATTTACCTATTAGATATAAATATATAATTCTTTTTTAAGTAAGTATTTACATAAGATGAGTAAAAAGTTTAATGTGTGTAATAATTATTTTTTAAGTAATTATTTTAAATAATTTGCTGCTATAATTTGAATGTATTTTGTATATTACAGATCAACTGACGAACAACTCCGCTTGTGCATCATGCCGGTAAGTCGATCTAATTTGTTTTATTTTAATGTCATATTAATCACCCAATATTAATATTAATACCAGATTTCTGAAGTTTCTCATACAATAAGGATGTAAAAATTAATATGCAACGTGCCTGAACGCGTGAAATTTTAGCAATCTGATTGATCAATTTTGAACATTTTGCATTTAAAAATTACTGTAGCCTCGAAATTTTGGTATAAAGATTTTTGTTTTTAAATGATCTCAGAAATCTGCTATTAACGAGTGATAACGTTGGCTTGGGATATCCTGTATACAAGAAAGATTAATCAAGTTAAGCGTATGTTTTATTTAACTGTTGACATCCTAAATATTTCAAAATTACTTGTATGATTTTATCGCGGGAAGCTGGGAATAAGCGAATAAGCGTGTCTTTGCTTCTGCGAGAGAGGAAATTGCGTAACGCACAAGAGAAACTGATGCCATTTGTCACGACGAAGTGAGGGAATAGCGAGCGCTGTCGCAGGAAAATTTTCGGCGGACGTGGAAAGATTTTTTTAGCGCGACGTTATTTCCATATCTTTTTGCATTATTCTCGGTATCGTCCTTCGCTTTGATTATCTTATACGTGCATTATTTTCGTTTTTTTGTTTATCTTCCTATATTTCTCTAAACACGAATAAAAAATTCTGAATTTGACATTTCCGCGAGAAATCACATGACATTGCGATTTTTTGCAAACAGAGAATTTATAAATAATCTAATATTAAATTATCAAACGCGCGCGCGCGCTAAAATACATGAAAATATTAATTATTTTAAATATTGATAATTTGAAATACAAATTATTAAAATAATTTTCTTAGTAACATGATGATCTATCTATAATAGATGAGATCTATTTTTTTTTATAATGTTCAAGAAAATATTGAACAGTCAATATATTATAAACGATGATACGTATAAAAAGTAGCGAGAGAAGAGGGTCGGAGTGCTTCGCAGGAAAGTGAAGTATCATCATGGTACCTAGGGTATTCTGTGGCGAAGTACGCAGTCGGCGAAATCCCATCTTTAATGCAAATTTTGTCATGCATCGCGTCGGGGGCGAGATATCGCGTCTTTGTAGAATTAATGTTCTCGATGTTTCCCTTTCATTTCCGGCTCGTGGGTCAACCTGGGGTGGTTTTCTCGAAACGTGATGGATCGACTGAATTTACTACACGAGATCGCTCGATAAGAATCGATTTTTTTTCTCGATGAATTTTTATTTGTGAGTGACTTGCCATACCTTATTATTTTTTTATTATATTGATTAAATATAAAAAAAAAATTGTTTATTGAATTACTTGTCAAACTGCAACTTAAAAATTAGAAATCACGGCGGCTTGAAAATGAGCTTCAACTATCTGTACTCGCAACTTTTTACACACAAAATTATAGATAGAATAAAAGTCTAAATAGATGGTCTAAAATGAGCTTCATCCAGAACCGTCCGCATATACATCTTGGATACGTGAGGGACGTATAGGGTCAGTACAAAACTACTCGTGAATATTCAGCGGAGTATTAACCCGCGCGCGTAGCTTACTCTGAGTAGGGACCATCTGTTCTTATCCGCATGCTGAGTTAAAGCGTTTTTAAGCTATTGGGCCAGTAGGGTGGCTACTAATACACGAGGGATGGCGATGATGGAACGGACTTTGTCATGCCTCGGTATAATCGCGTAGACAACTCACTTCATATCCGAGTTTCGGATAATTGTAGACATTTTACAAATGATCGTGACTCTTGCGCTCGAAACTTACGGCGGCCGTTATCAGCTATTATTAATCGTGTGAAGCTCGAAAAGAGGAGGAACCATTACGAAAATATTTATTATTCTTATAAGGAATATTGTCATTGTAGTAAGCAGTAGCAGTCATTGGTTAAGTTTCTATTTAATTAATGTTATTAATTTTAAAATTAATTAATAGATGCAACTTTCTTTGGCGATGGTGGGAGTTCCAGCTTAATAGGAGTAATTTCTAATAACTAAGCATTAACTAAACTGACATTTATGTCTTAAATTAAGTTACATTTTATCTCTTTTATTTTTAATGTATTTAAAAATTTATAAAATTCTATTTTTACTTTAATACTTGTTAACACTTCTAGTTTACTATCCTATTTGTTTTTAATTTCTCTCTTTCTCTCTCTTTCTTTTGCTCTCGCTCTTTTTCGCATCTTACATATTGCTTTTAGTGTCAAATTGTTAATTTTAAAGTAATTTTAGAGGATTTTTAGTTAAAATGAAAAGGAGGACATATTACAGAATGACAGTTCTTTGGCAACATCTCAAATTTGCAATTCTGCAATTTTAATTTGTCATTCTCAAAGTTTAGAGAAAAGTATCGGTCTTCTTTAAGTCGTCGACTTAAAGACGCGTTTTCATGCGGTGCAAATAACCGAAGTAAACCATTGCCGTACATTTTAGATGTTTTGACTTTTTTAGTGTTACCGCGTGCGCCCTTCCAAATAATTTAACATCGTTTTAAGTTGATTGAAGGCGAGATTTATTACAACAGGCTCTCTTGCGTTCTACCCTCTTAACCAAATCGCCTTCCTCGATTTTATAATATTGAAGTGTTTTGTTGTACATTTATAATATTGGTATAAAAAATTTTGCTAAAAATGGAAACTGGAAAAAATGCAACACTAATCACAATGTAATTCAGAAACTTATAACATATATATGAATTACGAATAAAACTGTTAAATTTTTTTGCAGTTTTATAAATTTGTTTCTAAATAACCATTAAACAATTTCAGCAACATTCTAATTGTCATTACGGTACACCGTATCTATTTTTTTCTATCTATTGTGGGATAAATATTAAGACGAATTTAATAAGTATAATTTGTACTAAAAATATATATATTTTTTGTGTCTTACTGTAAAATCAAATACAGTGTGATACAGAATTAATGCTTTCACTGAATTCCATTCTTTCTCTTTTTCCGCATTATTAGCATGCTCTGCTCTAAATACGCATCTTCTGTTTTGATCAAATGTTGCTATAGCAATTTAACTAGTTACCACTGGTAGCCGGGTATCGATTCCCAGGTGGCAGTCGGTGCCTGCACATTCACATCCGAATTCAGTCACCCATAACACGCGCGTGTGTTAAATAGTGTTCTAAATATACTTTTAATATCAAATAATATTGATTAAAACATGTATTATAATATCCAGCATCACCAACTAAATTTAGATATAATAATATTCATTTCTAACATAAGAGTATTAATAAGTGTCTAGTACCAATATATATAGTTTACATTTGCTTGAGACATGCAAGATAGTGAAACTCGTTACTAAATCGCGAAAAGTGTCACCAGTTTGTTCCTGTCACTTGAATATCATGCGAGATTAAAAGCAAGCAGGCAGAAGATGAGAAGGGAAGATTGTCTTAGTTTTTTTTGTTGACTTCGTAAACGAATAAAATTTTGAAAATTTCTTTGAGTTTTTAACGATTTTTCAATATTAAGAAACGATATTGAAACAATAAATTAGTAATTGAAGTTCGAAATTTGTGCAGCAGTAATGAGAATGTTTTTGTATGGTGTATCGAAAGATTATCAGTGTGAAATAACACAAAATAACTACGAGTGGAGAAAATAATTGAAAACAACAACTTGAAAGAGATTTACTTTGTTCTGTGTAAGCTTCTTTTTTGATCAAACAAAAAAAACAATTTTTATTGAATCGTGTTTTTAATATTTTTCCTCTTTTTTTCTCTTTTAACTTTTTTAGATAGAGGCTAATTGTAATATGAATAGTATTATGATGTTGCAATATACATATATATTGCAATAATAAAATTTACGTAAGTAGAATTGAAATGAGAAGTAGAAATTACTTTCGTATATTGAAAGATTATCGATAGAATAGATAATAACGGGTAAGAAATAAACGAAAATTTTTTGTAAGAATTTAATTCTCTCTTTAGAGAGCAAATATAGTTTTTAAATAAAGAGAAAGAAAGAAAAAGAAAACAGATTAAATAATTTATCTAATAATTTTGCTTGACTCTTGATAATTTACGTATTATTAAAATATTAAAATTCTAACATTATAATATTTTATAAAAGGAAGGAAATGGATAAAAGGAACTGATAATAATGAGATAAAAAAGGAGTAAACAAATAAATTTTTATTTAGCCAAGTTTTTTTATGTATCTACAAATATATTTGCTGAGATTTGAAGTATTTCTCTGAATGTTTAGCATTTCTATGAATTGTAAATCGTCTAAAATGGGCTTTGTATGAAATACATCATGTAAAAAATGTTTATAGTTTTGTTTGATATATTGAAGCGAAATACGTGTGTATTAAATTTTCCGCGACCGCTCTCCGCGCGTTGAAGTTTACTCCGCTCGCATCAAGTCGGCATGAAAATGCACGCTTTACGCTTCGCGAATGATGATTAAGTGCAGTCGTCGCGAAGTGAAACTGCGCATCTTGATCGTGAGAAATGCCATCTCGCGCGTACGCATTCTCGAGTGCCGAGAGGAAGAACGATCGCTATCAAAACAAAATACAAATTTGAAATCGGGGTCGTGCAGCATTTTATTGTACAGTTATTTATAGTCTTATATGTGTGCGCGTGCAAATTTTGCAGTCATGCGCGTTTATGTGTATGGATGCATTCGTGCCGAATCTTTTTTTTTTCTCACTCGTTCTAGCGACACGATGGATTGTTTTTTCGAAAAGTTTCACTGAGAATTCAATTACTTTATTCATTTGTCATTGACGAGATATCTTATCGATGAGTCATCGCAGTTGTATCGCGATTCGGTCTCGAATATCAATTGCATATGTGTATAACGCAATATGACGTATGCTCAGTCTTCTCTGCTACATACTTTCTAAATTTCATTTTTAAATACTAAATAAATATTTATCTAATTTTTGTTAATATTATCAAACGAAATCTATTTTTTATTATATAATTAAATATTTCCAATTTATGAAGAATATCATGCAATTTTTCACTTATTTGTTTCTCTCACAGTTATTTGTCAACTAATTCTAAATTTAAAGTTTATATCTTGTTCCAGTAATGGTAGAGAAAATGAATAAATATAAAACCAATCACATTTAACATTATTATTAGGATTAAAGCACTACAGTTTTATAAATTACAAGTACGCATTATTTGCTACGATTGCCATCACGTGCGCAACAAACGAAAGGTTAAGGCTTAACATCTTAAGCCTAGTAGGATTAACGTTTAATGCTTTAAGCCCGCCAATAGCACCGCATTATAATGCAGAGGAACAATTCACATTTTCCTATCATTATTAAAACAAGAATTTAGACTGATAACAGTACTTTTAAAAATTGACTTTAATTTTTTTCTTTTTTATCTCTTTCATTTATTTTTCCGTTATGCAATTTTATAAAATTTTGTCAATACAAATAGCGTGATATAACGTAAATGTCTAATCACATGTGTGAGATTTCAGTATGCGGTTAAATGCTTTTATTTGTTTCACATCGCCGCATTGTTTCACTTATACTCTTTTCAATGTCTATTGCTATCTTCATTTGTACAGGCTGTACCACATGCGATAAAGATATATATATATATATAGTATATGTGTGTGTATATGTATATATATATATATATATATATATATATATATATGTGTGTGTGTGTATATATCTTGCAATAGCCTTATCATCTCACAACTGCGAGCGGAGGAGAACACGTAACGTGGCCGATCGGCCGCAGCTGTCGCTCTTGGACGCGTGCACAGTGTGTTCAGATAGTTACGGCGCGCACAGGTGAAATCGACAGTCACTGCGCTATATGATAAAACGCGTAATCGTACAGACAATTTGCGATGAGTCACGTTTTCTGCGCGAAAAATGCGTCGTGTGCGTGCTTTCCTTTCTTCGTGTTCTTTCACAGTCTCGGTATTGCATTCTTTCCTTTTAATAATAAATTCTAATACACACATACGCGCCCGCGTGTACATATATAATTATGATAATCACGTATAATAACTGTATATTAGAAAAATATTTTACTTTGTCTTTTACTCAATATTTTACGCTAAATATTGTCGAAGAGAAATCGCCAAAAGTCAAAACAGGTAAAAAGATCTGTTATTTACGTCTTAAAATGTTTGACTTTGTAGTTACATTATAATTTGGATCTAACAATATTTAAATTAAGTTTATTTATAAATATTTATATATTTTTTAGTACGGAAAGATAATTCTAAAGATTTTTGATTAATTTTTGTTTTCGCCCGTCGTTTTATCGGACGAAACTATTTGCGTGTTTTTCTTCAGGGACACCCTGTAGTCGTCTTTCCCGTTCGCGCGATCCTATTAAACGCATTCTTACGACGACGACACAGTGGACACTCGACTTTTGCGGCGGACACATGTCGCGCTAGCCGGACCCCAGGATTGTCGACGTTTATTTGTCTCTTCGTTCTCTTTGTCGCGCGTTAGCGTTGTTATTCGTGTTTGGTCACTATCTGTTCGAGTTCCTGCATTGCACCAAGTTCTGCACAGTATCCCCTCGTGTGTGTATTATGCGACCGACGACGTCGTCCATTACGATAACGAGCTGGAGTGGAGAACCCGTTTAATTGTTGTCGGTGTTGCATCGTTATGCGTCGCCGTGCCTAATCACCGTTGTTCTTTTCCATCTCCGTGACACTTTTGTTAATATTGAGTGATAGAAATACGCGACACGAAGAAGATACGCATGTGTACAGTCTCGTACATGTATGGGACGATTGATAAAGGTGCGATAAGGAATTCGTTGAATTACAGATACATTGTGTTATTTCTACTGATGCAAGAATACAAAGATATTTGTATTGTCTAATAAAAAGAGAAGCCACCTTACAATCAGAATTAATATTTACACAAGAAAATATTAATAATTTAGTAAACATTTAATTATGATAAAGATATAATAAAATTAATAAAGACAAAAATATTAATTCTATAGATATATTATATTTGAAATTTTTACAATCATATATTTTGTTAAGAAATATTCCATTATACAAATTTTTACGCAAACATTTCTTCAAATTTCAATCTTATTACAACTCCAAATCAGAAATTAAAATGTAACAATTTTTCTTGATATAGAATAATTTAATATTTTAGATATACATATAGAATATAAAATAACGTGTTTTTGTAAAATATTCTGTTAATATTGAAAACATATCTCCGTGTTCTCTCTCTTTCTCTCTCATTTTTCATCAAATAATCTTTCTTTAAATACTATTGTTACTATAAATTCCAAGCTAATAACTAAAAGAAAGAAATTTTTCTTGACATTACAACATTCTCTTAAGATTGGACTCAAGTGTCTGGCTGATCATTACGAAACGAATGTAAAAGGCTGATATCGGGATAGCGTGCCTGAAGCGCTCTCAAAGCTTGAAGTTTAAGAGGAATACTCGAAGCGAGCGAGAGAGCAAACGCGACGCGACGGACTCGAATTAAAATGGTCCACTGAAACTCATTCCCCGAATTAAACGGATTAGATCCAATCAGTACTCGTCGCAGCCGCTGTTGCTAGTGCTGCTGCTTGCTGAAAGAGAAGCAAAGCAGAGGACACAACGCGTTGCATAACGACAGCGAATACATTTAATCTCGATTCCGTCCTTTATTTAATTAAATCAGTCTGCGGTTGGAATATTTGAATTTCGTGTCTTGTTTTTTTTCTTTTTTTGTAAGTTTACACAGACCTTTTTTTATTAAATTGTTAATCTTTTATCAATTCGCTATATTCCGTATATATCTCGTATGTGAGTTGTATTTCAATTTAAATAAATTTTGTTTCGCTACATATAGTCTTTGTATTCAATTTGATAAATCGCTTAGTCGCGATCGATCTTTGCTTCTCTTGTCAAGGTCGCCACTTGTACGGTTTCCGGCTTGGTTGAGCTTTACGCTTCTTTAGATCGACAAAAGGGTTTCTCCGGTGCCGCGTCTTTCTCGGCACGTCTCGCGAATCTATCGATTCCGGCGAAAGCATCAGCTTCGACAGGCAAAATATTCAGCCGACTCGTTGCTTTATAGGGTTTCGCGCTCCGCTGACTCTCGTGACTCACCATCGAATACACACGAGCGAGTATGCCACGTGGTTATAGCGAGCACACCTTACATATTGCATGAATTCCGTGGCATTTTCTCGATTTGTCAAATTTCTCCGACTCTCACGATTCACTATTTTTCCCGATTTTTCTGACTGACACTCGATGAGGAATGTAATTTGTTCCAGATTGTAGCAGCACAAGATATTTTAATCGTAAATAATCACAAAAACATAAAAATTAAGTCTTTTATTGATAAAAAAGTGCTGTTGATTATTATTTTTGTTTCAAAATGAGAATTTGAAAAGGAAATTAAACTTATGAATAATTATTTAAATAATTAAAGCATTACATATATATGTATATTTTATATATAAGCTTATATAATTTATATTAACTTTAGAAGAATATTAGTTTACAATGTTGAATATAGTGACATGTATTATATATTTAATATCGTGAAGTCGTTATAAAAGTCATTTTGCGCAATTCTTTGTAATTTTTGAGGAGAATTAAAATTGCAAGAATAAAGATCCATGTTCGACATGGTTTAGCCGTCTAACGGACGTGTCGCTATGAAAATTTCAGAGGCACAGGTCTGCAAATAGAGTGACACGATTCGATGCTTGCACTGACAGATTGCGGTTCGTTTTATTCATCGGGAGAAAAGAGAATTGATCGGGATATTGGGAAGTGGTAGATTGCAATTACATTCTCGCGATGACCCTTCAGGTCCTTGTTTCTGCTGCATAACACTCCCTCCGGGAGAGGGGAAGCATGTATTTAAATTGCGCTCACGCATTATTGCGTACCGCAAGCATGCACTTGTATTTACGCGAGTTGGGATGACCGGTTGCGGTTCGCTAACGATCACGGTGTTTGCAATTGTAATAAAAAAGACATACGTATGTACTTACTGAGTAATATTTATTATATATATATATATATATATATATATATATATATATATATATATTATATATATATATACTATATATATTACCCTAAAACATTTATTATTTAAAATATCATTTTTCAGTCATTTTTGCATAGTATACTTAAATATTATTTTATATTTTACATGTGCATATATTAATTTCTGGATAATATATTTAAAATAAAGTATATTGAATAGAAACGCATCTTTTTATCTTAAATAAATGGATTTTAGGTTTATGAATATAAATAAAAAAATACTAGATAGAATACGCGAGTAGGGAATCACTATACACGCACATCTTTTTGCACACGTGCCGTCGTGGAAGCTTCATCGGATCGTTCTTTCCTCAACGTTCAATATTGACTCTATGAAAGTGCTCGCGGACGGAAATCTTCTAATTTTCCAGCTTTGCGATTTTTGCCGATGCAATGCAAATACAGAAGCGTTTACTGTGCTGTAACGCTGATAGAAATCCTGTGAAAAAATTTGCGACAACCATTATTGCCATGATTACCACCATATAAATATCTTGTATTATTTAATCTGAAAAGATAAATCTATTGTGTTTTAATAATATGTCAAAATAATGACGATAGTTTGAACTTTATCAGAGAAGTGTTATTAATCGATCTAATGAACTAATTGATAGAATGTATATTAACGAGCGAATTTATAATCTTTCGGCTGCCTTTAACTCTTTTTTTTTGCTTTTGTTTTTTAGCTACTGAATTCTTTGGCGACTGATTTGGACTGCATGTTGAGTGAGCTCTGCACGACCCCAGATTCCTATGAACGGTGAGTACAGCTTTGTTTTTTCTTTGGCCTTTTCTCGATGAGGTCAAGTGTGATCTCATTATTTATTTCAAGGCCAAGATTGACGCTGAAATCTTACTCGAGCGCAGTTGTGCAGTTATATTACGATCATTCTTCTAATTTGCAAATTGATGGAGTTGCTAATATGTATAATAATTATATGCATATAATAATTGTACGGAAAAAGGAAAAGATGATCTGATAATCTAATCATTTATTTTACTTGGTGTCGCAATTATTAGTAATACACACACACGCACACACAGTTGAAACATATAAACAATTTATATATATGTATTAAATATTTACGCGCACAAAAATAAACATCTAACAATTGCATATACATATATCTCGAAAAAAATTCAGCTTGCATTATTAGTGGGGAGAACGAGGGGTGAACACATTAACTACCCTTGCCACGTGCAGCGGAGATTAAATCGAATTAATTCCCGTAATTTATGATGAAAATCTCGCGCGAATAATTTCCATTTCGCGCGGAATCCTCATCGTGATGTATGAGAGATTGCGCCTATAATATTCGAGACGTTATATGGAACAACGGTATTATACCGGGTGACCAGTCGCTAATTAAATCTTCTACATATATTGGCTATGTATTAATTTTACTAATTTGCAATTTTATGCAAATATTAATTGTTGGTTTTTGTAAATAAAATGGCAAAAAGAATGAATTACTGTAATAGACATATGTATAAAGTTAAATATGTATTATTTTATATAATTGTGTATTTTTTATAAAAATTATCTAGATAAAAATATTTTTATAATAGTTAAATGTTTAACATATGTTTCATATAAATTGTTTTTCTGCTTTATTTGGAATCACCCAGTATATGGAATATTTACATAGGATGCGTTTATGTGTATGATGTATAGATATAGATTCTTGTGTGTATACATGTATATACACGGGTTAAATCTTAAGATTTAACATTTTGGGGTGCGTCCTTCTATTCATTCTGAAGACAAGATGGACGATGTCTTCCTGAAAGGACGCAAAATTTCAATAGAGCTCGAGAAAAGGGCTTGGACTCACCAAAGTTCGAAACTTGGCATAAGTTAGCTTTATATCAACGAATGTGATTAACCGTGGCAATTAAACCGGACGATGATTATGCGTATTTCATTTGGTACAATTCAAGCAAGTTGTTTACAAAGTGGGGCATTAGATCACCATTAAGTTTCGTCGTGCAATAAGTTTTCCGTCGAGAGAATCGTTGTTCGTAATTTTCAAAAGACGCAGGATATGAGCGTTGCTACGGGATAACGCGCCGAAACGATGGACAGCTGGCAACTGAAAGAGCAATTATGCATAATATTATGGCACTAATTCCGAGCACATGTCACAGATTGGGTCGTTTGTTGGACAAATTAATTTTGCACGTATTTATGATATTAATCTACATGGTTTAAAACAGCTTCACGTTTGAAGCATCTAATTAACTTAATAATTAATATATTAAATATGGTTAGCACTATAATAGAATAGGTGAACAATAGAAATTTGCAACAAGATATTGTAGGAATTTTTGGTCTTCATGAAAGAGAGGGGATTGTAAACTTATACACCTTTAGGCTGATATCGGATTTCATATATAGCTGATGCATCTCCTCTCTCTGAAACAGACGTATGCAATTCTTAATTTTGCAAAACAAAATATATTATAAATCAGTGGCATAGCAAAAATTTAATTATTCTTTACACCAAATTTATATATATAATTGCATTTAAATATGTTTCAATAATATATCGCGACAAGTAACGTAAAGCTCTAAGTACTTTATCTTTAAAATATTTTGTTAAGTAGTATTTTTATAAGTTTTGCACAAGTTTTGTTACTTTTCTTATTACTTTACATTTACGAAAATGCACACTTTCACTTCTCCAAAGTAATGCGATAGCATTTGTGCATCTATTATTAATTCCGCACCGTCTGAAAGCCCGTTCGTGTAACGAACTTTTATAATCTTTCTTCAAGATGAGCATCCTGCGTGCTTCTTTTTCTCTCCGCCACGAAAGTTTGGGCACTTTCCCAAATTATATGCCTCTCGTAATTTAAATCCCTTGTCATAATGTTCGTTTACGTTGTTCTCAATGTGATTCGTAATCGACGTGGAAAGCATCGCACCGCTATTATCACGTTACGCTATAAAATATGACAAGAAACATTTAATGTTTGCTCTCATTTATGCACTTTGTCGGGCAGGTAACAAAAATGTCATTTCAATATACATATCAATATACGTACAATATACATATCAATATACGATGAGATTTTGTCTTGTTAATCCTGATAATAATTTCTACAATAATCAACATAATATTTATATGCCAATTATAACAATGTCAATTATTATTATTATTATTATTATTAGATGTCGGATATTTTGTCTCATGAAAATTATTCTCAGCAAAAAAGGAAAATGTCAGATTTTGAGAGATCTTCAAATTTTCGTCCTTTTAACATTTATATATCCGCAATAATTTATTCTACTTTTAATATACATATATCACATATCACAATGTTTAATTCCAATAGATGCGAAATACAATCAGTGAATGACCGACAAGCGATCGAATCTCTACCTTCAGTTTACACGTTCGCATATCGGTAAAAAAACACACGAGTATGTATGCAAATTAGCTGGACGGACAAGTGTTACGACGCGGCGCGACATTTTGCGTGAATGAAATTTCCAATTTTTCTCCTATCGCTGTCCACCAGAGATATCAACCCCCTCTTCATTTTTTCCTTCGCGTTTCCCGGAAATGTCGCTCTCCGTTTCCGACACACAGTTTTGTTCGTCTCCGTTTCCAGCTCGACAGTTTCGTTAAATTCGAATCGGTGGTAACCAATGTTTTCGCAAGGGTGGTAATGAAAAAAAGGAGAAAAACTTTACTTCCGAAAAAATAGCCATTGTAAAACGTATGAAACTTTTTTCGCCATTGCCTCATTCTCTGCATTTTTTGCACTGTTGCAAGTGCAAGCATTTGAAATCGCAGAATTTATATCACTGCAAAGGGAAAAAGCAAAAATACCGAGCACGCTTTTTCTAAATAAACTTATAAAATCAGCTTATAAGTCAAATCTTTTTAAGATTATTTTTATTAGGATAACGTCTAGAATAATTTTATAATTTTATGCTTATGTAAAAATTTACAATAAGAATTAATGTTGAAAATGAATTAATGTTGAAAAGGAAAGACAAAATTTCTTAAATATCTGGAGATAAACATGTTAAAAATTTGATGTGTGTATATGATTTAAAAAATTTAATTATTTATTTTCTGTATCAAAATTTCAATTTTTTAATTTTTTAATACTATATTTTGCTTAATATTTTTAAGTTCCTAGCATTTAACACAGAGGCTTTCAAATCTTTTTTTATTTAGTTAAATTTTCTAATTTTTGTATAAAATTCAACTAAAGGAACGAGACATTTGCACGCTCTGCGAACTTTTGATCTCAGCGACGTCATAAGCAGATTTCCGCGTTGGTCCCGCACCACTGTCACTTACAGTTCACGACATGGAAGCGACACGAAAATGAGGAGATAAGGCGTGGAATTGAAATAAAATTCCGATTTCGGCTTCTACCGTCCAATTATTATCAGTTGGTAATCTCGCTAAAAAGTTCGCCTTTGCTTTAAATCAAAATGGCAAGCCGTTTTTGTTTTTATTTTCCTTAATCTAAAGAAAGAAGACTAATAACAAAGAAGAGTGCATGAAAAAAGAAAAAAGAAGAATTGCTTTTATTTTTTGTTGTAAAAATCAGTTAAATCTTATTAATCTAATTATTAAAACTTAATTCAATATGAAATATAGATATAGAATATAAACTAGTAAAGTAGTATAAAACAATAATGTATAAAAATAAGATATTAGATACAGATACATTAGATTAGAAGTTAATATTAAAAAGAAATAGAAAGTTAAGAGAGAGGAGGGGAGGGGGAGATTTCATGTTTTCACTTTCGCCGTGCTCTCGTGAACTCGCTCGCTATCTTCCGGCATCATTAATGTAACCAGTTTCTGACATAATTAATGCGCTGCATGCATTCTTCTCAGGCGGTCAATCTTGAAAGTTGTGCTCTTTATGATTGTTATTATGTTCTGTTTTTGACACCATTTTTTTAGCGATTGATATCCTTGCTGTCGAATTATGAAAATTATGAGTGGAGAATTGCGCTGGAAAAGTTCTTACACTTTTTACGAAAATGGATTAATTTTAAATCAGTTTGTGCAAATTCTTATTGTATATATATATATATATATATATATATATAACATAATTTAAGATTGTAAACCATTTGAAACGTACATATATATTTTCCATTTAATTATTTTTAGTGAAAAAACAACCATCGTGAGACATCTCGTGCGCATTTTAATAACGGATAGCGATGTTAAGAATTTAATAACATCTCTCATGAGCTTAATGGCATATTCTCTCCTATCTGTGGCGCGCACACATCATTTCCGGATATTTCCCCGAGCCATTAAGCGAGGTGTATCTCGGTCGACGTGAATTTCGAGAGTGCAGCAAATCCGCTTTTAATGCGCGCCTCTTCCCTCTGCCTTTACCGTCCATCCCTCAGCGTCTTGACGTCGAAAAATAATGCAATTTTCCCCTTAACCCGGCCGTCGTTCTTCTTAGACAGCCCCAGATGCGCGATCGCAGCATTAGATTCACATTAGACCGGATGAGATCCGGTATGAGATGTATTCGAAAAGAGATAAAATTTTTGTCATAACGTAACGTAAAAACGCATGTTTACTATCTCGCTTTTTCGAGAACGAAATTGAATTTTGTTTGTCCAATTATGAAAATAAAATAACACAAGGCGAAGATGGTGCAGCCCTTTTGTAGGATAAATTGATTCGATATTAGTCGCGTAGTAGTCACGAAAAGGTATAGAAAATAATATTAATTTTGACATAATAAATATAGAAAATAGAA